TTGTTTTGTTTTGTTTTTTGACTTGATCCATTAGCTATCATTAGAATCATCAGTGGCGTAGCGTTAGTTAACTAACCACTAGACTCTTTGGTTCTTTGGTTTGATTCCTGGACTCGGCATCACATGCATGATGCATGTGAGTAAAGAAAGCTTGTTATCTCTCTCCGTTTATTTGAGACATTTCCTCCCTCCAAAATAACTAAAATGCTAAAACTCCAATTTGATCTGTGAGTTAGCAATGCCCTGTGACTTAGATCAGCTCACAAGTCGTTTCATGATTTGATCTGTGGGTTAGCCACACCCTGACTTAGCTAYATGCCCTGACTTTCCAGGGACRGATCCAGGATTTTGTTCAGAGAGGGGTGCTRCGCACAATGTTAACSCAAGGAGGGGTGCACCCCTTAGAATCAAAGGCAAAAAACAAAATTGGTTATCTTCGAAGTAGGAGCACAAAGTGTTAGCAGGGAGGGGTGTGCACCCCCACAYCCYTCCCCTGGATCCGCCCCTGCTTTCATCAGCCCAAGGTTGTTTCGGGGCTCAATAAAATTAGAGTTTTTTTATTAACTTTGTTATCCAATAAATAAGCAATACTCACAGAATTATGGTAACTGCAATAAACAACATCTGAGTTATGAACCTCAGCAATTCTTTTTAGAGCAGAGAAATGACATCGACAGCAGTTGTCTTCCTCCACCAGAACAGACTTGTTGATTCTCTTGTCAAGTGATCGGCAGCAGTAACAACACCTAAAGCTTGCCATTAGTTTACAACATCCACAAGCGACGTGGCTTTTCATGTAAATAGGCCATCCRTATGCTGCCAAGGCATAGTTCATGTAATAAGCAATGTCCTTGTACTGAAGAAGCTCCTCCTAAGCAGAGTACAACAGGTCACACATTAGTATAATGTAATAATTGAATAAAGAGTTTTGAACACTGTGATTGGCCGAATGCTTGTGCATTGATTTTGAGTTTTGCTTTTTTCATTTAGAACTGGTGTTCATTATGACACAGGGTCACGTGATATAGAAGTATTTACCTTACGATCAAGCCTTAGAGTCTGTGCATTGTTGGTTCGTTGATACCTGAGTGAAGACTTTTTTAAAGGCACACCATCCTTTAATCATAGTCAAAAGAAAATTAGTTTTTGTATATTAGGCAGGGAGGGGTTTGTGGTGTTAATTCATATAATTATCATATTTCCTAATATTTAATTTATATTTTTTCTTTGGGGTTTSTTTGAGGGTTGGTTGGTATATTTCATAGTAAATGGGTTGGGTTCGGGCTACAAAATTGTTTTAAATTGTTTAAATGATTTTTATTTTCAAATTTTTTGCTAATTATCTAATGATTAATTCACATTTTCAAGTCTGAGCCCCTCGATCTGATAAGTACCATTAACCACAGAATCTCCTAGGTCCATAGCACAACATTATATTAATACAAAAAATATTTGACACTGTTATTAATTGACTTACAGTAGTCATTTCCTGGATCCGTCGCTCYTCAAGAGCTCTTTCTAGTTCAAGCTTTTCTTGAAATTTCTGATGCCGTCTTAATAGCACTARACCTGAAGCAAAGTCTGAAGGAACTACATCTAGATCATGAAAGTATTCTGATAAGGTCCTGAAATAATAAACATTCCATAAGTTAATGGGTTTTTTTGTATCATCTTTTCTCCCTTTCTGAGTTCCATAAACAGAWTGCATCAGTGGTGTAGGTTTACAGACTTACCTTCCAATAAATACATAGACATTCTCATCACCCTGTACTTCACCTCTGCAACAGAAAGCATACCGAAAGCATCCCTGCCAGCGTCGCTCATACTTCTGAGTGATATGTAACTTATACTTATGGGAGCCATCGACAGAATCCACACAGTAACCAGCATTTTGTGCTCGCTGCATTTCAAACCAAGTTTCTCCAGCAGTATCAAATGTACAGAAGATAATAACCGCAACAATAAATAAGAACATCCAACTGAATACAACCACTGCTTTAGCAATGTATATTTCAACAGTCATTTTACATGAGTTGGCATCCAGCCATATCCATTTTATGCCGACTGACAACCATGCTAATTCTATAATTGATAACACAAGACGCACATATAGTAGAGAAGGGATAAGACTTCTTGGTTCAGTGTCCATTATCGATCCCTTCCCACTCATCCATGCAATTGATACTTCCATGATATTTGTTGCAAAGAGTAAAGCTAGATATCCACCAATGTAATAGTCTACAGTTTGTTGGCATATGTGTTGGTCTTTAGTATTGGACCAGTGATCGTGATGCATTCCATGGTGGATACCAAGAGATACTGCAAGGATTATCATCCTGGAAAGGCAATACAGAAACTATACATTAGTTCCTAATTTTAATTTAATTTAATTTAATTCCTAGACATAGGGTTATCACTTCACAGTGCTGCTCTTGCGGGGGCGGATCCAGGGGAGGGGTGCAGGGGAGGGGTGCAGKGGGTGYGCACCCCTCCCTGGTTACACTTYGTGCTCCTACTTCAAAGATAACCAATTTTGTTTTTTGACTTTGATTCTAAGGGGTGCACCCCTCCCTGGGTTAACATTGTGAGCAGCACCCCTCCTTGAACAAAATCCTGGATCCACCCTGTCTTGGAGTGGATTTTGTAAGTCTTAGAGTGAAACATCCTACATTTGTTATTTTGGAATATAGTTTCTTGGTTTTGCATTACACAAAAAGTGTTAGTATAGTTCAGTCCTTTGAGAATACTGTACGTGTGATGAGCAAAAATCAAAGGGAAACAAAGACTCCTAATTTCCTGTAATCTATTCCCATCTTTTGAAGCTCAAACTCCCGATAGTGTGATTCTTTTCATATTTCCCTTAAAGGTTCGAGTTATTAATGAGGATCCTACTGTATATTAAAAGTTATTTATTTTTTCACTATTCATAGTCACTTTGAATATGTAAATTATGTCCCAGAGGAATTGTTAATATGTATTCTCACGGACTTTATACTAATACAAAAAGGAAAAGATGCCATGAATTAATCACTCTCATTAAACCACCGACGAAGAAGTGCATGTTTTTTGACCCACCRACCTGCCCATGAGCAAGCCGGGTTGATCCACATTCTGTCCCATTTATTGCTCTCCGGCCAGGATTTGTTCCAGGCCAGAGCTCCCTTTACACTATTCAGTCACTCTGGTATATGGGAAAAATGGAAATAGGATTTAAAATGGGAAATCATTATTTTTACCATTTTCAGGCAGGATCTATATATATTATATRTATGCATACAAGTTAATTTATTCCATCACTTCCCTATTGAAATTCAGTCACTCAGGGCTTTCTGACAGATAATATAAAGTACTGTTTAATTAGAATAAGTGTTACAGGTTCATATTTTTTACCAGATACAAATGTCAGTAAAATGACATATTCAATTTATTGCCCTGCACATCTGCCAACTGATATTGAAAATAGCAATTATACTAACTATAGGTTAGAAGTAATATATCATTAATCATGGCTTTTACCAAGATGGATCCTTTAAAGGTTATTATAGAAATAAATAAATAAATAAATATATCATTAATCATGGCTTTTACCAAGATGGATCCTTTAAAGGTTATTAAATAAAAATTGATAYATTGAATGATGGAATAACACATCAAAGCAATTATTAAAGGGAGAGCRTGATAATAGTCCAAGATTTTTAAAACTGTTTAACAGTAAGGTGAGTATTATAGTTTTTAAGATTTTTAAATAAGCCAGTGACATCATCTTCACTGAACACCAAACATCACTCTTTGCATACTAATTACATAATAAGTACAGAACTACACTTTTGAGTTTAACATACATGTTTGGGCAGTGACCTCTGCCATCATCAGTGGATGTAAGACTAATTAGTGGCRAGCTATAAATATGAGAATCGAGAACAATAGAATTAACATAAAAGTCAGAGCATGCAACCCTACACGGAGAGCTTAAGGTTAACATGCTTGATACATAATAGTTTTCTTAATTTCTTTACTCAAAGTTAAGATTAGGGATTGTAAACCAATGATTCCTTGCTTTATTATAAGGCCTAATTACAGCAACTGCAAAACTGAGGTGTCAATTAAGCCTGTGAAAAATAACTAGCGAAAAATAGAAAYATTTCCACCATTGTGTTATAAATTCTATAAGTTAGCATTGGTCAGTAACAGTTCATTTATAACAAAATATTCTGCCAAAACGAAATGCACATAGTTATTCTTTAAGAAATCCAAGAGCATTTAGCCTTTTTRAATGTAAGACCCAACGTTTGAAAGATAGTTTTTTTACCTTATGCTATAAGTAAATGKGATGCCTCCCTTTAGCAATATTTTAGTGTTCTCAATTTACCTTTTAATTTCAATTTTTATAATCTTTATTTATATCATAAATTTAAGTTTTTCAATTTTATATTTTTCTATTTGAATAAAGTTAAGCATTATTATTGTTATTATTATCATAAAACTCATTAGCTTTGTGTTATTGTTATTCATACAACCTCTTTATTARCAACGCAATTTTTTTTCATTTGGTGACCTGGAAATCTATAGTTTCAAGAGGATAAGTGACACCTCAGGAACTACGTCTGATTCGACTTCTTCCTGTTCGGTGAAGCTTTAAATAGGTCGTAAAAAATAGTACTGATAGTAAGAGGAGGTAGAGGGCGCACCTTCAAGTGCATTAAGCATGAGCCCTTGTTTCGGAAGAATTGGGCAACGACTCCCCGCATTATCAAAGTAAAACAAATTACCTTTACCTTTTTTTTACCTCAGTTTAGCAAATTTCCTTTATTCTGATTGGCTAACATTAATTTTCTCTAAGATCAGAGAGCAGAGTGTGTGAGTGATGTTTATGGAATGTCTTTTGTGTAAGCYGAAGGAAATAAAGCCTCCAAAAGTGGACAAAACCTGCCTTTATTACAGGATGCTGTTTCATAATGTTTTTTGTAATGTAAAATTTTCAATTCAATATTGTTCTGTTTATTTATGACTTCAATTTACCAGGACTCACATTGATATCAGCAATACTAAAACGGTATTGCTGAAACAGCAAATTACCTGTTCAAAYACAGGTAAACGTTAATATATTTGCGCTAGCCCCGGTTTTCATGAAAAAGCATTGATTTTGATGGTGARTTCCTGGAAGGCTTCCTGAAGAGAGGCCTTCTCTGACTTTAAGCTMGCTTGGTTTATTTACAAACAACAGCATATAAAACATAACATAGAAGAAATAATATGTACTTCCAGAAATTACCTATACACCCCCCCCC